TGATGCAGACATTCACATGACTCAAAGCTATAATTTCAGCAGAAGGAGCTTCTACAAAGTATTGATTATGGTGGAGGTGAACACATCAGCAGAAAAGAGTTTTCATTTCCAGGCATCTATTACACAGTATAAATATTTTGCCGCTTTAAATTGTAGTGTATGTTGGTGAAGCAAGGGGGAAAAACATTTTTACTCCTTGAAAATTCCGGTCATAACACAACAATATTTAAAATTTTACAGGCGAGTAAATATTTTTTGAATGTATTGTATCTCTTCAGCCCGTCCCTGATACAAGATGTTATGCATGAACCAGCTAATTAATTAGATTCTGTGTAGGGGTGCAATGATCGGGTGCATGGTAGAGAGACACTATTCTTTTCCAGGACTGAATGGAAACATAGCTATACTTGAGAAGGGTCAACCACATCAATCAGCCCACGGGCTCTTCTCTTGCCATAATGTTTCCACAAGATGGAGCTGTTGGTTGCCAAAACCAGACATTTCTGTACAGCATTTATTTTCTGCTGACCGTTTTCTTTGCCGAGACGTGGTGGAATTTTTTATTTCAATGGAATATCAACTTACAGTGGCAGAAGGCAGAAGGATGCTTCATCAAGAGATTTTAATTTTATTTTTTGTATATTTGATGGTGAAGGTGTCTGTCTTTATGTGCCACTGAAATTCAAGAGCTATCTGGAGGCCCATTCTGAATCTCAGAATTCGAAAGTTAATTTGGTGCCAAAGGTCAAGCAGAAAAGTGATTTCAGATCCCCCACAACTTAAATGATGGAACTGCAAGGTTTAACTACCTTGTGAAAAAAATTCAAGTGAAAGTAAAATTAATCTGTTCTTATGTGAATAGAAGTAGATACATTGTTCTGTAGAGAACTGTCTGAGGATGAGTAAAATGCATTAAGAGAGGTAAAAGGAATTCTGTTTGTATTTCTGCATGGACTAGGGAAATACAAATACCATCTACCATCCATACAGCAGAATATAAATGATATATATATAAAAATAATATATAATATATATAAATGATATATATATATATTATATAAATGCAGGGATATCCTTTCCTATCCTCTGTTATTTTCTGAATAAAATATTATTGATAGACCATGTGAACGATTGTCTGTTATGCTACATTTTTAGATTAATAACAATTTTAATTGACAGTTCCTTAGTTGAGCCCTAGGGAGCAATGATGTATTTTATTTAGAGATAAACATGGGATTATTGTTTGCATGGTGAGCTAGACTCTCCTTGAACGATTAAACTAACGGTGATAATAGTGTTTATGTGCAGGAAAAAAACAAGCAATTCAATTTTGATCTGAAAAATTCAAAAATGTGGGCTGCATGCTGTGAAATTCAAAATATTAATTCTAAAATCTACATTTTATATCCATACACAAACAACTACAGTAGTGGAGGCCTCTGAAAGTGATACAAAATGTAAAGGCTCTGTAGCAGAATGCCACATTTAAAAAAAATTGTTAAAATCTTTACATGGAGGACTGTGAGAGGGAGTAGATATGAGATGTGAGAGTTTTTTTACTTAGAGAACAGTGTACATTATTTGTTTTTAATTACAAAAAACGGGTATAATGAATGTTTGCCTTTAAAGCACTGGCTAACTAATACTCTCTGTGTGTATTACTGCAGTATGTACAGTATATACCGTATTAGGAAAACTGCAGTTTAGTCTAAAAGAAGGGTTTAAGTTACCTGTGGCAAAGGTGTTTGAGCTATATATTGTTTGATAAAGATTATTTGGTAATTCTGTAGATACATTTAGTGTTATTGGACCATTCGGACCATTTAAATCATTCCGAGAGCCTCAAAGAATTGAACAGTAGTGTCCCATGGATTGCATTTGGCACAGACACCATCATTAAAAGAAAAACATACTACCGATTAAAATTATTGAAGAACACAGAGTGGTTAATAAAAAATCCCAAGAGAATTATGCATTGGTACTTCAAAGAAATAATAATTGTAAAATAAGAGAAGGCAGTTTTAGATCTGTGTTCTATAACCCAATGAAATGTGTTGTTGTTTGGAAGTGTTTGTCCAAATATTCCCAATTTTCATGGGCAAAATAGAAATAGGATGCTTTCATTAAATATTGCATGAGATTTACTGATAAACTACTGTAAGCACACATAAATAAGGCAAGTGTACTTAAACAAATGCATGAAATCCAATTTAAAATTAACATGTCCTTGAGTGGAATATGCTACTGTTACTTCAATGCAAAGCTGCTTTTCAGCGGCATAGTGGCTGCATGACTCAGGTTATTTTGTTGTGGTTCTTTTCTGATTCCTGTGTTTTGCTTTGTGTTTTCTTTATTGTTGTTGCTTTCTGTAAAGCTCTTCACCCTCAGATTACAGCAGTTCTAAAGAGCCCATTATATATGTATAAAAGAAAACACATTTTTGTGAAATAAAATGAATAGCTGAAGTCTACATTCCATAAATGGTTTTAGGCATATTTTTGCCAAATACTTTTTTGTTCTTCCAGCAATTCACTTATGATTTCTATTTCTCAATAAACATCTTCGGATGAACAGCTTGTGTATTTTGTTTCCAATTACTTGGAATATTGGAAATGCACAAAACCTCCCAACCTGTAGTAATGTTGCAAGTTCAGCTCCCACCTTCCCCTCCCAGCTTCTTGAAACAAAGAGCCTCACAGTCCATCCGTCACTTCACTGTTCCTTTTGGTAGCTGAATATATTCAGCGCTCCCCCTAGAGGTCCTGAAACCATGCCCATAAAAGAAGGTCTTGCGCCATTCCCTCTACCCAACAGTTGGCTGGGTTTTGTTTCAGGGACTACAGCCACCCTGACGGGCTTTCCTTAAAACCTGACCTTTCATCTCAGGAGACCCTGGCGTTCCTCCTCAATTAGACACCACTTACAAAGATACTCAACCCCGTCAATTATGACTGCCCATTCCCTTTCAACTTGCCACAGCCTGCTCTCTTGCCTGCTTGCACAGCTCCTTTCATTCAGCCCTTTGCCTGTAATTACACCCGCACCTCTGTATGTAGGTAAGATAAGATCACTTTATTAGCCACACAATTTCTTGCATTAAGAATTTGTTTTTTCGCATACCCCAGCTTGCTCTCCATGAGACACACAGGCACACAGACAGGGAGAGAGAAGCCTGGGGTTAGAGCGCAGGGTCAGCCATTTGTACAGCACCCCTGGAGCAGCTGGGGTTAAGGGCCTTGCTAAAGGGCCAAAAGGAGTAGGATTCCTCTGCTGGCCGTGGTATTTGAACCAGCAACCTTCCAGCCACAGGCACAGATCCTTAGCCACAGAGCCACTGCCTTGCCCAGGAATTGACCATTATCTTGTTGACTGTTTGTAATGGTGGCCAATAGGCACAGCCATTCCCTGAGGAGTTTCCCATCAGGACTGTGGCCACGGTTGTGGATCTAATACAGTGGTTTCTAATGCAAACTGCACCCTGCCCTCCAAAATCCAACACTGACATTAATTAACACTTATGCAAAAAGAAAAGGTCACAAATTAAAATGAGACTCAAACCTATGAATAATGTGCAGATAAGGTATGAAATGATAAATCCACTTGAATCTGGTTTGATGTCCAGTTACATTTACAGATTTGTTACTTTTGCAGTGCCTCTCAGTGGAGAGCTTGCCATTATTCTAAGTAGAAAGATACATTCATTAACACACTGAAACGCCTTACTACTATTCTGTATTCTACTAGTATCCTACTGTATGACCAGGGAATAGATCAGCACCTTGAGTCACATGAAACAGATCCTTAAGAGATGAAACTTGCTCTCACCACTGTTTCATATGTTATCGTTTTGTCAAAAGAATGAAAAAAGATTTTTAATAATTAGTAAAGACTGCTTTATCTTGGTCCTCACTATTTGGGAGTAATGATATTCTATTTAAAGTTTTAATAGTTGAAATCCCCCACCCAGCATGGCCTTTGCAGATTCTAGCAATTCTAAACATTTTATGGGACTGGGCTAGCCTAGAGAAACACAAGCCTACTTCTAAGAAGACCGTAGCATCTATTTCAAGTCTGTTTTTTATCTTTCAACTCGATAACATTGAATTAATGAATTATGATGTCCTATGACAAAGTTAATGTTGTGGATATTTCAGTAGGGCTAACTTTTTTTCCCATTTCAGGAATTTGACTAGAGATTGGATTAAACATTACTTGCTGGAAAATAAAATCGTTGTTCATCAGGAAAATCACTGCATTCGTTATAAAAAATCCATGGCCTTCCCACCCTCTATGACCATAATACAACAACTTCAAGAGAACTTGAACAAGAGAGGCACATACACTAGCCATAGAACGTGAGTTAATCTACTCCCCCTGCCCCTATTTCAAGGTAAGAATACAAACTTGTTCAGAGCAAAATGTTCAGCTCACCTCTCAATGTCATATTCATGCCAACACACTTCTATTTCATGTTACACTTTTTTTACTCAACATATTGATGTTCCACAAGAAACAGTATCTAAGGTGATATCGGCATGGAACCCCAAGGGGAAGATATCAAAATAGGGCAACAGTACTGTGATATCTATGCACTAATTCAAAGAGCAGGATAAAACGGGTGAGCAACTGCAAATCTCCTGACAGCAAATTTCAACCTGGGGCATGAGCAGCCAGTTACATCAAAACAGGTACACAGGGGACTCCATAAAGAGCAATAGAATAGTCAAGCCACAGAGCACAAACCATTCATAAAGCTGGCAGCGTACATTTGAAAGTCCAGTGGTACAAAGAGAACAGCCAAAGGAACTGCTCAGGAGTGGAGAAATGTGATATGATCAGATGATTTGATTTCACAACTCCAAAGCAGAGTAAAGGAAGTTTTCACTTTCACTTCAGCAATGAAATTAGGAATAAATTTGAGTGTGAGGGTGGATTAAAATTCAACGCACCCTTACAAGATTCTCTCATGTAGATTCAAAACAAAAGGACAAAGGCCCAAGTCAGATTGAATAAACTTTATTTACTACAGGAGGACAAATTAATATTACACAGAAAACGTTATAATAATAGCATTTAGCACTTGATTGCCTACCACCGTTTTTCACTGTAGAACTGAAGTGTTCACGGAGTCTCCTCTGAGGTGTGGATTTGGTGCCATTTTATATCAGGCTGTGGTCCTGCTTCATGCTCTTCCCTTTGTCTTATTCCTTTGCCTGAGACCCAGGTGGGGTTAGAAACCCCAGGTGATGTAATTCAAGTCCATCAATAAAAATGTGACATAGTACCATAATGTATAATGCATTTGTGGTTTTCATCACATAAAGTGAAAGAAACAATACTAGGCATTGTTCCACAAATGATGTTTTGGAATACATGAGATAAAATAATTGAAAAACAGACAAAAACAATCTAGCAACCCAGTGAGCATTGCTAAATGCACAGTAAACATTCAGTTACTTATAAAAAAAGATGCAAGGTTATAACAGAAGGAATCACAGAGAAAAATGAATATGAATGGAGAAAAATAAGACTATAGAAAGAAATAAAGGACCAGCTGAAAAAAAATAAAAATTATCTGATGTTGTGCACTTCTTATATTAGGAAAGCAACTGATCTGGAATGATTAAACACAGAAGCCACCTACTTCAGTTAAAACCCTTTATTTCAGCACTTTTAATGAAACAAAATACTAAATGTAAAAACAGTTGAACAGTGTGTAAAAATGTTAATGTTCTTTGTTCACTAAAGCTGGTGTCTTTAGAATTCATTTCTTCCAGCTGTTGTAAGAGTTTTTTTAAATAAATCTTTTTGCTGAGACAACGTGACATTTGTGGGTGACTTTCAATTGCAGACCTGGCATTCCTGGGTCTACATTTTGGATAGTAGCAATTATCAGACAGCAAACAGCATATGATTTGAAGGACAACTTCTAAATGCTATGAATGTTCAGACACACCAAGGCTTAAGAAGCCCACAAGTAAATGTACAAAACTTACAAAAAGAAGGCGGGGAAGAATAACTACAATGAAAAAAATCCAAAGATTACATTCATAAAAGGTTTTACATATTGCATACATATCAGTCAGTAAAGGAAACACTGTATGTGAATTTTTTAAAGAAAGAAAAAGTCATACTGTATCATCTTTTCATTTACACTTGGAAAATGAAAAACAAATTAGGTGTGTTTCCAAATCAATCACTAATACAAAGTTAGCAAAAAGTTCACTTCATCTTTTTTAACACTGGAAATCTTTTGGCTGGTATTTACTCCCCTTGCGTAACAAAAGGAATATTAAAAAGTTGATTCATCTTTTTTTTCAATGTTACTAGTTTTGAGCATGACCTGTAAATGCGCAAATGGGTTTGAGATTCAGATCATATTACCACAAACCGTGAGCGCAAGTCGATATGTTTCCTGTTAGGATACTGACTGATTTTCACAGAATCAGAGGAAAACATCATACTCTTAAAACAGCCGTGCAGCTTTATTCGTTCATGTGTTCCCACTACCAACAGATTGTTTAAAAATTCAGTAATTCAAATTCTTGAGGAACAGAAAGGAAAACTTGACAGTTTGCTCATCTTCTTTCCCCAGATTTATAATGACTGGTTGTTCAGCTCATTTCAACGCCACTTGAGCCTCACACACTAAGGGCTACTACTGTAGTCTCCCAAGAATAAGAAGACCAGATAGACCAGTCATCTTCACACTCCTGAAGTTTAGAACAAAAAGGTTTCAATTCTGGACCATTCCAATGGCCATGTCTAACAATCTTGGTCAAAGTCAGAAAGAGGTGTCTGCTGTAAAGTATTTTTCTTCAACAAATCTCCCATGAGCACCTGCATGTAAGCATTTGCTTGGTGGTCATTAAACTCCAAATGCAGTGTGCAGCTTGTTTCATCTTATTGCACAATCTACTCATTTGTTCAGGTAGTTTCATGGAGCCTATATTGCACTAAAAGGCCCCTCCGCAGCAATTTTGGATGCAAGTCTTATTGCGATGTGCAGTACATAAGAATTACATTTGCCATCTAGATTTCAGAAATAAAATGTTAAAGAACGATTTGAAAATATAACTGAGATATGTTACACTGATGTTACACCAGGTATCTGGAGTACTTCATTGAAGTATCACTCTCAGTTCTTTCAGTGGCAATGTAGATGTGCTGTTTCACTGCCTGTTTTAAAACATGCAGTAGTGCACATATTTGCAGGGAATTATATGTAAAAATGACAAAAACAGTGATTGTTCAGCCAGATACAAACTTGGAAACTGTTTAATAGTAAAATTTATATAATCTGCTATTCAAGGAATGATTTATCAAGGTCTGTTTTTTGAGGAAAATACATTTATAACTATTAAAAAGTTTTTTTTTACAGAAGCAACAATGTTCTAAAACAGTCTGATGAACTTGAAGCTTCTTAGGCTTGAAAGAAAAAAACGTTCTTGTGGATTGGATGCAGCATAATTTTCAAATCCTCTGGACATTCATCGTACACTATATATACACAGCAAAGTTGAATATATATGCAGAGTAATATAAAATGTTACTCTTACAAAAAAAATACAAATTGGTCATTACCTTAATAAAATGGTCCATTTTATTTGTTAAATGCTAGCATGCAACATCCACCAACTGCTGCAGCTAACATCAGTCCTTGAGGAGTGGATACCTGTCCATACTTTAAGACTCATTCTACAGCCACGGAACTGGTTGGAATCGTAAGGCACTGTTTTGCCAAATTGTAGAAATTTGGAAATTATTTGGAAATGGAGAACTCAGCTACTTATACTGTCATCTAGCGTTCTTAGACACACATTAGTAGCATGTTCACTGTCCAGAGCTTCTCTTCTCTTTTTTTTTTTTTGTAGATCAGAGTCAAATAATGAAGAGGCAGCTGATTGTGGTCAAAAATACAAACAGCACTAAAAAGCCATGTTACAAGATGAACAAAGCAATTATTTACCTCCACTTGACTGTAAAGGTAACTGAAAAACTGCTACACGTAACCCTGAGCTAAACATTTTGCTTTTTTGATTTGTTACTCATTTTGTGTTTGAGTGTTTAACTACCTATGCAGCTATAGTCCTTGCACTCAGCCTAATACCTTCTGCACTATGTACCAAGTCAGCAGACAATTGTAGTGATGTCACATGATTATTGATGAAGAAAGTCAATTGTTTTGCACTGTGGTAATCCCAGAAAAAGTTCATAATGGCCCATTTTCTATAAACTATATTTTCAAAATGTAACGTTTCTAAGGATACTTTATTTTACAGTTTTTACAAAATTGGAGAAAACTGCAATACTGTGAATTTAGTGGATACTGACTTTAAGTGGCTAAGCTTTAATTTTAAAACAAAGGCAGCCCATTCTGTGAATACCAGCATGCACAGTTCCCTGCATAAATAGAAAAAATAGATAAGAGTTTAGATTTTTACTAACAATTCTATCCTTGTACTTTATATTTTATGTAAATAACAGAAGTGCTAAGAAAGATTTGGTTGTTGACGCAATATAGGGAGACATAGCAATATTAACCTAACGTTTCCACAAGGAGCTGCAAACTCACTCAGTTTGTCTCTTTTTTTGACAGGGACAAAGTAAAAGTCATGTCAGAATCTCAGAAAGGACAAATTAAGAAATGTAGTGTTACATCTCGTAAACTTGATAAAGGAAGGTTGCTTTTCTGTTGTTTGAATACTTTTTCTAGAATCAACTGTACGACAGTATCTGAAACACGTGCCTTGAAAGAAAAAAAACAGAAATGCTGACATCTTTCAGAATGCAGTCTGGTGGGGTCTGGTGGAAATGGTTGGACCAGAGGAAAGGGAGAGCTCCTCTAGGCTGTCCCACTTGCAGAGTATGAGAACTGGGGGAAGTGAGGCCTCCTCTCGCTGTCCATTGATTCCATGTTGTCATCTAGGGAACAAACAGAAAGCAGCAATGCTGAAGCTCAGGGATTGGTTTCAGAAAGCTCTCACTTCTCGTCTGGCATACATTCACTTCTGCTCCAAAACACTGGACACAATGCAGCCTTCTTAAACAAGATTAATGCTCCAAAAAGTAAATTTGCACAGCTAGTGACTTTACAGCTTGATGGATGTTAAAAATCTTTTTAGATTTGAACGTCCATTGTCTTCCCAATGGCATATTGGGACAAGAGCATCTGTCTTCCACCTGGCCTTCTCCTGTGTGTCTAAAGCTGGAATATTGTCAGAGGACTTTATTTCATTAGGATGAGACTACTAAAAGAGCACACATACTGAGACTTCCGTGTTTGCTACTTTTGTTCCAACTGGGTCCTTAATCACCTGTGAAAGTTGGAGCTGATGCATGTGCTGGTTTATTCTTTTTTCTCTAAACAGTCCTTAATTTCAAAGTCATCCTAAAGTGCATTATTTTCAACAGCTACACGGAACTTAATGTAGTCTCTCCTCAACTTGCTAATTAAGATTTCTCTGCATGATTTTTTACCAAACAGGTCTTAATAAATTAATCTATTAATGATGACCAAACACAGGAGGAATGACACTGAGACAACTGCCTCAGTGAGTTCTTTTCTTCTGCTTATGTCCAATTAATTATATATCAGCTGTCACAAGGGCAACCCTGAAAATCAGCAATTAGCACAAGGTTCAAGCTAAGTTTTTTTAACAGCTGGAAGTAATTTGAAAAAGGCCTCAGACAGAAAACTGATATAAATCAGCCTTTCATTATCAACTTGGTCGGAACAAACTAGAATAAGGAGTGTCTGCTCTCTTTAAATTACACTTGCGACATGCCTACAGTTCACATCTCATACTGTCCGGGCTTAAACAATTAAAAGCACAAATTCAACATTGTAGAGAGAGTCCAAAAAGCACAGAGGCTGCAGTACACCTGTAGTACTTTTGTTTCTCATATATGACAGAAATACTGTTAACTCTGCAGGCTACAGGGCAAACTGTCAGAACATAAAAATACTTAAGCATATGTCCACTAGAGGGAACCATACCCACAAAGGAAACAAAAACTGCCATTAAAGGAGATTGTGGTGGTACTCTAACCAAATTTATACACTCTGATGTCTCAATTGTCCAATCTTAATTGTACTAATTAAGAACAACACGTTGGGATGCACTCTCAAAAGTGGAATTGTAAATGGAGGAAAGAAAATTCAACTTTAGTGTTCATAGATATTCTATAGATTATACTATCATATTTGGAATATTTTCTGCCTCTGAGTGACTATTTTAGTAGCTTATACAAGCTGTAGGTTTATAAAGGCGAGAAGCAGAAAATCAAAAGTAGTTCTATTTCATCTATCTCCACAGTTATTCAGATATATCAGATTTTAAATTTAAATAAACATGAAAAGTATAAAACAGGGGTGGTACAGCATTGCCACATTTTACTTTAAACAAATAATTAGAAAGGTTATCAATGACATGTATGAAACACTGCTCTTGGTCTTGTACAGTTGTACTATAGACAACTTTGTCAAATCTAATAAGTTAATTAGGACACTTATTTAACAAAGAGTCTGATTCCCTTTTCAATGTGCTCCCATGAATCAGTTGTGGTATAAGATGCGGTAAGAGTATAAAAGCATTAACAGGAAGGCTGCTGTGTTCAACCCCAAAGATGGCTGGATTTTAATACTTCTTTTTATTTGGCTGGGAAATCCTTTTCCTTAGGAAGCGTTCTGCCGAACAGAATGTAAATAGTTATTTTACAGTGCACTTAGTATTTCGGGCAAAAAACACATTATACCTTCACATATGTTATTCAAGTACAGAAACACAAACAACTGCAAAATATTAGGAACCCAGAGATGCGCAATGCGAAGTCTGGCTTCTTTTGGACCACGAGGCTACTGCCTTTCCTGTCTGCTTTTCGTCCTTCTGAACCTTGTGGAATACACCAGGCCGATTTCTGTTCAAGTGGTTTTTGATACCGAGGCCCAGCATGTTATCTGGAGGAGGTTCCTAAAATTTTGACCAGTGAGCATGTAAAATCACATTATCTTAATAGATTTAAAGCTGCTGTGACTGCACGCTACCTTGTCCAGGGGGAGTGATTGTGATGGTCTGAGCTGTGAATTCCTCATCAAAATACCTGGTATCGGTCTCAGAGGTGACCTGGGGCTTGAATGGAGGGATGAGCTGTGGGAATAAAACACACTGGATCAGCAAAAACAGCTACTCTGCAGCTTATCTCAAACAAAATGCCCTTGAAACAATTGAAAACACCCAGCTGAGACCGTTAGGATACATCACAGGGTCACAATGCAGAGAGGACACTTTCTCTTTGGAAATGTAGAACATGCTCTGTATGCTTTTTTTCCTCCGTCAGCACATAAAGATGTCAGAATGTGAGCAATAGTCAACAAAAGTTAAAATACACAAAACCTTCAAATTTATTCAAAATATTGACAATGAGGTAACTACAGAAGCAAATATGTGAATCTTTTTCTGTGAAGCCTCCTCCAGACAGCTGCTGCTCCTCGATCTCCGTATTAAATTATGAACTTTATCCATCCTAAACATGAGAAATGTTAACATTTAGGAAGGAACAGATCAGAATAGTCATTGGTTACCAGAAGTGACTTGGAAAGGTGCCACCACCTCTGCCTACCCTTATCCACTTCTGAATGACATTCCTAATTTAATAACACAAACACTTCAGATTTTTTTTCCATTTCCAAGCAATTACTTCCTTGATTATGTTCTAATCATAGCCAATGCCATAATGAACATCTTCCTTGAAAAAGACAGACAGTGCTGAAAAGAAGCCATTGTACCTTAATGACCTCTGAGCCATGAATAAAACATCCACCTTTGTCTGGAGAACATCACATCCTCAAGGTTAGCATCTGTGAGCCTCGGCTTGTTTTGTTTGACCAAAAAAACAACCTCCAAGAGTTGTGTATTGTATTAAATCTTTATAATTCGCCTCGCTGAGAAAAACATGACCCTTTTTGTTCTCTGCAAGACCTCAACATTTATTATATAGATGGTATTCAAAGTAATAAATATTATAAAGTTACCTCAGAGAAAAAAAAACAATTTTTGCAGAGACTGAAATGAAATCGTGAAGTTTAAAATCATCTCTCAGATTAAAGGTCTCTCTATGCCTTTACAAAAGTAAAAAAAAAGCTTGCTGAAGTAATCGAAATCCAAGAATTTAAATGTGTGCACTGGTGAAAACAGAAAATCATATCAATATTCTGGAAATCAATTCAGTTCAAAGAGACAACTTTCACAAAGCCCTGTACTTCAAGAACAATTCATGTACAATAAAATTTTTAGTTTTTTTTTTAATTTGAAACATACATCTAAGCCTGCATCCAGTGCCTTTAAGATGTTTACTCCTGCACAAGGAAGAACAGAGAATTCAAAGTTTCATCACAATTTGCTGGTAATTGACCTAGCTTGTCACTTCCACTGTACAATACAGAAATAAAAAAATGGCAAAACTATGGAGACAAAAGAAATCTACTGAAAGTCTTTTTCCACCTACTGCTTCTGTCAATATCAAACTGCTGGATCAAACTGCTTCTGTCAATAGCCTAATTCCATTTCACCACAAAATGTGTTGCTCATCTAATTGCTGTGGGAGCTGATATGTTAAGAGCCCGTGTGATTAGCAACAAAATCAGTGACTTCGAAAAGGCAAGGTTCGAAATTCTGTTTTTAATTCCCCGGTCCTCTTTTTAGTTTTTTAAGATAAACCTGAGTCTGATGAGTATAGTTACCTTCTTCTCATAAACATCCTGCCACACAATCCCAGCAAAGAATTTGTGTTGCATGACCTCCTTGGCATCATCCGGGCCTCCCCCTAACCTGTGACAAGAAGAATCCACAGAATGTCAGGTAACCACTGGCATGTCTTGTCTGAATTATTAAATTACTGCGCTGTGATACTTTGTCACAATAAATGCCCTTGCACCGTTAAAGAACTCATTGATGGATTTGCTGTCTATTTTACAAGTCCTCAATGAAATGGGGATCTATATTTTATCAGCACTGCAGGGCAGTACAGGCTAGTGGGTAGGGCTCCAGACCTATGGTATACCCAAAGGATCATGGATTTAATGGACTATGCAATTATTACACTTGAAAAGGGTACTTTACTCCTGTTACTTAACAGTCGCGAAACCAGAAGTTGAAGGACTGATCAAGAGTTTTATGAAGAATTTAAGCTCCCCCTCCTCATTGAATCTATTAGTTTTAGGTGATGCAACACCCATGCCTGGTCTTTAATATCTTCCAAATACGTGCAGGATGTGTGCAGTTCAGTGTACGCAAGTGGGGGTGTAAAGTAGCTCACCGTTGTTTGGGGTCTTTTTTAAGTAGGCCAGAAAGAAGGGACTGCCCCTCTGGAGCCAGAGTGCGAGGAAAGCGTATGTCTTCCATCAGGATGAGCTCAAATAGCTTCTCATGATCTTGATTGTAGAAGGGTAGCCGGCCACACATCATTTCGTACATCACCACACCAAGCCCCCACCAGTCCACTGCCCTCCCATAGTCGTTGTCCTCCAGAACCTGCAAAAAGGGAACAGCACTGTCACATTAATGTCATCTGCAACACTGTCCAGCTTTGGTCACTAGAATAAGTCTGAGTCAGTTCAAGCACATCAATTCCTGATCTGTAAGGAACTTCATAACCAGACAACTTAAGGGAACTAAAACTTTGATCTGGGTCTTCAAAATCCTGAAACGTACTGATCAAATAAACCTAAGGAACATCTTCAAAGATCAATAATCATAAAGACCTAGAGATGTGAATGCTTCAAAACTCAATTTTTACTTAGGACAGATAACAGGAGATATGTTTTTGCACCATAAGTGGTGGGGCTCTAAAACAAACTCACTAACACACTGTTGAAGCTCATGCCTGTGAAAGGCTTTAAGAAATGGCTTGATATCGTTTTTGGATCATTACAGCTGTAGTACAAAAACAAAACAAGGAAGACAGGCCAAACTTTTCCAAAGAGCATGCAGTGTGATCATTCAACAATACAGGAAAATACAATACAACTAGGACAAAGAATACCTAAAAACACATCTAAAATATATGTAACATTGTTAATGTCTGTTCACAACTGCTTAATCAATTCTAAATTTGGGAACAGTTCTTTATTTTTAAGCAATAAAAATACATTTTACAACAACATAGTTGTTGTAATTCTAACAGATACTGAGCTGGACAAGTTTTGACTCCAAAGACCAGAATTCTGTAAATTTGTGTTTAAGTGACACTTTTTATTGTTCACAGTTTTTAAGTCACATGTCTAAATCACTGACTTTCACCACTCTATTTGGTGCGTGTATAGTGACTGTGTCCTCAGGGCTGCTGGCTTTCTGATGTCCCACAGCCACTAACAACACCACGTCAAGGTGGTTTCACCACATCAAACTTTGCAGAAATAAATTTCTCAAGTCTCATGGACACTCCCTGGCATGGAAAAGTAGACATCTTGACAGAGAGTGTAGTGGTATAAAAACTTTCAAATTTTGAGGATACGAATAGAAAAAAGTCACAAAGAGTTGGTTTACCACAAAGGCTATTTATATTTTATTTTACAGAATTCTGAAGCTCTTGAAGATCTGCCAGAAAATGTACTGCAATAATAATCCAATGATCCTGTGGCCCTTTCTGAATGGAAGAAGCTTATCCTTGATCTAAAGTGTCCATTCTGCTGCCCTCTTTCACCCAGCCCGTCTCAGACATGAATCTTTATTGCAATGTCTGGTGTTTCTTTTCCTCATTTCTGTCATCAGTGTGGAAAATTGCTTCACAGATAAAATATAGGAAGGGGAGCAGAGACTTGTCCCCTCCACACACACACAAACACACACCTACTTCCCTTTTCATTTCACGCACATGGAAACTGTCCAGTAGGTGCTATTTTCCAAGGCAGTACCATTAGAGTTAGTGGAAAAGTTAGAGAACTCAAAAACACTTCAGTTGTTCCAAAACCACTGTTGTATTGTTCTTTGCCATTATTGAGTGTCATCACAAAATTCCATTCCATTTTTGGATTGGGATAGTCTTGAACAGGCTATAATACTGGACAGTTTTGTTCAGATATGGTATTGTATAACATTTTTATGTTGGGTTAAATTTTAAGAAACGTTTAAGACCAATAGTTTGTGGAAATCTACCACCGGCTGTTACATTTGTTTTTCCCCCTCATTCCAGGTATTTGGCTTCTGTGTGACCTAAACTGGATTATTAACAGGACTTTGTGGAAATAAGTCACAAACTTTTAGAATATTAACTTCCACTTTCCTTTCCATATACATTTTCATCACCCAAGTTTGTTATTAAAGTATTGAATTTGTTAACAATTGTATTTAGTGCTACTTTGTACAAGGCCAGCAGCCATATCACCCTGAAACTCTCAACTGGCAACCCCCAGAAGCTCAGTAGGTGTGAGCCTGCTCAGTACCTGGATGGGAGACCTCCTGGGAAAAACTAAGGTTGCTTCTGGAAGAGGTGTTAGCGAGGTCAGCAGGGGGCGCTCACCCTGTGGTCTGTGGGGGTCCTAATGCTCCAGTATAGTGATGAGGACACTATGCTATAAAAAAGGTGCTGGCCTTCGGATGAGACGTAAAACCGAGGTCCTGACTCTCTGTGGTCATTAAAAATCCCAGGACGTTTCTTGAAAAGAGTAGGGGTATAACCTGGCATCCTGGCCAAGGCCTTTACCAGTCATGGCCTCCTAATAATCCCCATCTCTGAAATGGCTTCATCACTCTGCTCCCTTCCCCACTAATTGCCGATGTGTGGTGAGTGTTCTGGTGCACTATGGCTGCCGTCGCATCATCCAGGTGGGGCTGCACATTTGTGGTGGTGGAGGGGAGTCCCCACTACCTGTAAAGCTCTTGGAGTGGAGTGTCCAGAAAAGTGCTATATAAGTGTAAGCAATTATTATTATCCATCTCTCACCTGGGCACTTATTAGATGTAAGAAATGGGAAAAAAAATAATTAAATGAAAAAATAAAGCAGCAAAATACTCTATGGTTGTACAGTAGGTTACAGTCTCTTTCTACTACCCTGGTTGCATGCAGCCCCAATGTTTACAGCTTCAGGCCTACTTCCCCAACCCCAGCCATGAGTATCGTTAACCAAAGCCAGCACTTATTAGATGTGCTGGAATAGCTAATCCTAGCTATTACAAAAAATAAAACACTACTATTACAACATGATGCTTTCTGGCTCTCTAAACATGCATAATGCAGGGCTTAAACTAAAATAAAGTATTAGAAATTGAGAATCTCTTTTTTACAATATGATCTGGAAACAGGTTCTTATAATTTTCAGTATTTTAATCCAGTTGTAGGAAAATCACCATCACTCTCCTGGTATTTTACTCAACTACTGTCATGTGACCCATGGTAACCTGTCTGAATCCTCAGGCCACTTACAATGTCACATGAGACTAAACCTTTGATCTCTGGAGATCTGGGTAGTTCACTGGAAGACTTTATTCCTTACCCATCAACCCTTGTTGACTGTGTGCAACCATGAGTCCTCCTGTACCAGACGTCGCATCATATAAGCGTTTCTCTCTGCACCATACGGGATTCCTTCCACTCTCTCTGGCTTTTATCCACTGATCTCTTTTCCAGCTACCCATCACTCCTTCATTCAGTGGGAACTATACTTCTCTACCTGCCCCATTATTTTTCCTTCATGATCCTCTCTGTTGTTAACTACCTCTCTTTCTCTCAGTGGTATTTATGATTCTCTTCATCACAACCTCTCCCTCTGAGGACACAGTTTATTCCTGGTTATTTTAGAATCCCCTCCAGGATCACAGATCGGTCTCTTTCTCTAACCCGTGTAGGGGGATGTGGAACCAACAAGAGTCACAGGACCCAACAGCTCCTCTCCAGTACATCAGATCCAGTACTGCTCAGATGCCAAGATGAATTCTCATCTCTAGTTACTTGTCAGACTCTGCCGTGACCTGTCCTGCTGCTATTCTGCTGCTCCTCTTTCATTCTCAAAGCTTAGAGATCTTTCACACAAGCGGTTAAGCTAGCCAAAGGTTTCTCCACTTTCTGTCCCCTGTCCAGATCCTCGGACATTTTCAGTACCTTAACCTGTAACAGGGAACCTCGGCTCATTAAACAACTGTTTAAGGCTTTTCAGTTGTCTTTGGGCATCTTTTAGAGCTTTTCTCTGACTTGCTGATATTCCCAGGTCCGTGAGCCTTCTTCCACCTTGGAAGTAGCACTTTCTCTCACAATTCCAGGTCTCTTTCTCTTCGGTCCGAACAGTGATGTCTTAACTGATTTCTAGTCTACTACCTCTGGTTCCTTTTGGCCTAACAGTGAATTGCCCTGAAGTTTTTTGTGATCTCTGGCATCCCTGACATGGGATCATTCTTCTGAATGGTCAGCATTTAAGCACTTTTTTCCCAGAGCCTAGGTGAAGAATGCAGCTATCCCCCTGAGCTGTTCTCATAAATTGCTTCAGTAGAGAAGACTGGATCAGCTGTGAGACAAAACGCAATTTTCAATTTGAGCAATGTTCCCTGAATGATCACATGGAATTCCCTAATAAACAAGTACTGATTCTTGACTCTGTAGGGGGTGTTGTCACCCTCGTGTGGCTTGAGATGGAACTACAAGCCTCTACTGGTGCAGTCTATCTACAAAACGCACAGTATGATCTTGCAGAGGTTCTCATACCAGCTTCACGGTAAAAATGCATTTGATGTGGTAGAGATATGTCAGAAGAAAACACATTTATTTGTTCATCAAAGACAAAGGCTGTGATAACAGTATAAATTTCTTAATTTTCCTTTGCAATTATATCACCCACAACTTTCTGGACACTGCCCATAGCAAATAAAAACAGACCGAACAACTTAAAAACACATTGGATAAGCTAGCTACACACTGTTGTGAGACCTACTGAAAGATCAATCATTTCAGTTATTTTAACAGCTGTTGATGGCGCTAATCTGTATCACTTTCGCACCTCCACACCAAAAACATCCAGTGGAATTTGTGTTTAAAAATTCTTGAGATTTGTGTTTATTTGCATCTAAACAATAATAATTATTTGTACTTATGCAGCGCTCTACTGGACACTCCACTCAAAGCTCTTTACAGATAAAGCTAAATAATTTAATAACACAGGTTCCGGATCCCCTCGACCCTCAATTGGAAAAAGGGGTTAGATGGATAATTTCTTAACATGAAACAATTGAGCTTCCTCCATATCTGTAAAAACAGTATCAAGTTCCAGCGGTTTCTAGCTTTACAATGTAACACAAGGATTACAATGTGAGCAGGTTCATTTTCTTCACTTTGTTTTCAGCTTGGTGGTGGTTTTCTGATTAGATGTGACAAGGCTATTTGCACAGCGGCTGCTCTGGGAATTTTACGACTCACGACATACAGAGACATCGGGACATTCAGCACTGCTGTACTGGAATAACATCAGTGAGATGTCACTGGCCCGTCCACTTTTCTCCAAAAACAAAAATCATTTAACTTATTTTAACCTGAGCAGAAGTTTTTT